GGGAAATAGGGAACCAAAGGAAACACCTTTTTTTGCCTTTTTTAACCAAAAACGTAGTTGTTTTCTTTTGGGCTACATGTGGAAATACATCTTTCCCTGGGTTGTTGGAAAAATGTTTGCCCATTTCGTTTTTTTAGTTTCCTTATCTTCAAATGGAAGGGACCAACTTAAAGCCAACATGGAAAACTGAACACTAACAATATTTTTTTAGAGATTGCAAGAAAAGTTATTTCCATAGACTTCTTTCCCTAATTCATTCTTAAAAACCTCTAAAGACATCCATGTCAGGATCTTTCTCTGATTTTAGGAAAAAAACATGACTACCTTACTGAATGTTCAGGTTGAGTCCTAAGTGATGTCAGTGTTTTATATATAGACTGTCATGTTTATAAGTCTGAGCCAGAGGGAGTCTTTATTTTCATTTTAGAGGTAAGGAGACTGAAGACCAGGTTAAGCAATGTTGAAGTCCCCAAGGTAGGGCATTTTGAAGCTGGAATTTAAATCCAGATATGTCTATACTGACCTTCATATTCTTTTATTTTTAATATATTTTTATTGATTTCAGAGAAGAAGGGAGAGGGAGAGAGAGATAGAAACATCCAAGATGAGAATCATTGATCGGCTGCCTCTTGCACGCCCACACTGGAGATTGAGCCCTCAATGCAGGCATGCGCCCCAACTGGGAATCAAACTGTGACCTCCTAGTTCATAGGTCGATGCTCAACGCTTGAGCCATGCTGGCTGGCCCTGACCTTCATATTCTTAACCACAGTGCTATGTTAGGCACTAGTACCTCCTGCATCATTATCCGTAGCAACAGCCCTTTGTACTAAGGAAGAACCAGGGCTGTAAATCCCAAGCCATGTGAAATCCATGTTAAAAGATCACTAATGCTCTTTCACAGCAGCCCCCATGCTCAGTCAGAAAGGCCAGCCCTGAGGAAGATGAAGTGAGGCTGATCTGCCCGTAAGGGAGTAAAGCTTGCAGTTTGGGCAAACTCCTACTCTGTATCTACTGTGGAACCTGCCACAAGAGTTTAGTAAATTCCTCACTGACCCATGATTTCACCTTTAATATAATATCACATCAATTCAGAACAAATTCGAGTGAGGCTTTAGGATCAACCTTAAGTGGGAATCTGTGTAATGTGACCCAGGGTTCTGATCCATGGCCTTAGGTGCCAGATAGGCTTGAGTATTTCTATGTTAGATTGGCATCAGGAAAAAAAGGATTGATGAGA